GAAGAGAACTCGTATCTGGTTACGATATCTTGAGTACTGTGTGGGCGCATGTCGCCAGTTGCTGTACCGCTGTTTGCAGGCATGACAAAGTGAGAGGAAGACGAGTTTGAATTCAATTGTCTGTTTTCAATCTCATTCCTCACTTGCACATTTTGGAGTACGTGCGTTGGAGTCTTGCGTGGGGAGCTGCGTTGTGCCATCTTGCTCCCCCTTCTTCCTCCATCGCCATCTCTGTCACTAGCGGAGCACCACACCTGGTGGGTCCGCTACATTGGTATCGGAGCTGGAACGGTCTCCGCCCCCACCCACCACACCGCACAGCAGGGAAATACGGCAAAACCCGACAGTTGGGTTTTCGGTTGTTTTTGGGGCGTTTTCGGGCAAAAAAGCGAGGAAAAGCGGGAAATACAATGAAAAAACGTGCTGCCGCAGGAGAACTCCACGTGGCGAAAAAGGAAGCCGCATCACGACGCGGCCGCCGCACGCGCTGCCCCGCCCCGCCCCGCTTCCGGATTTATATTATCAAGATCCAGGATTCAACTGCTGCTGCTGGGGTTTGAACCCAGGCACTTGTCGAGCCATGCGCGTGCGTAAGCAGCCTCATAACACACTCACCACAGTGTGTCCATGGCTCTGTAGCACGACACACTGGTGTTGAAGAGGTGCCGTGCTGGCTATTTACTTCCCCCCCCGGCAGGGAGCAGTGCGCAGCAGCGAAGTTGCTATTTACCCCCCCCTTGGCTGCTGCTGCCTGTGCACGTGGCCATCTCCACGGCCACGTGGCTATCTCCACGGCCACGTGGCTGAAGTCCCCCCTGCTTAGGGGGCTGCTCTACAGTGGAGAGGGCCTGCTCACACAGCAGACCCTACATCTACACATCTGCAAAAGTGCTGCTGGGGGCTGATCAAGATCTCAGCCCCCTCTCTCCTCCAACTGGCTGGTGCAGCAAAGACCAAGACCCTCCTGGTCTTGGTGTACCTTGTGCCCTYGGAGACACCAAGGGCCAGGTATCACTCCCTTCTCCCCCCTCCCTCTACTAACCCACTCTCCCTACCCCTCCTCTCTCCTCTTACTCACCCCTTCTCTTTCCCCCACCTCCCAACACCCATTCTTTTACTCTCCTCCTTTTATTCTTTCTTTTCTTCCTCCTTTTCTCTTTGCTTCTTGATCCCTGTCCACCTTTCCCCATCCCTCCTCTCCCCCAACTACCACCACCCCATCCCCCTACCTCCCACTTCATCTTTTTCTCTCCCCCCACCTATTTCTTTCTTTTCTCCCTCACTTTTCATTCCCCTTCCCCCCTACTTCGAAAATTTCTCTGTTTTTTTTCTTTCCACCTCTCTTTTGATTTATCTTTTCTCTTTTTCAAAAATTCGAAATATCTTCTTTCCCACCTTTTTTTCTTATTTTTTGATTTATTTAATTTATTTTTTTATTTATTTTGAAAAATTCGATTTTCTCTATGGCAACCCTAAATCTGATTAGTTGTTAGATTTCTCATCTTCTTCCCCACCCTATGTTTTTATTTTTTTGATTTATTTTATTTATTTTTACTTATTCTGAAAATTCTTGGCGGCAACCCTAAATCTGATTAGGTGTTAGCCTTTCTTGCTTTTGACACACGTTTTGACCCCGTGGGGGTAACGAAGTGTTGTCGAAATTTTCTGATTTTCTCTTACTTAGTCTTTTTGGCACACTTCGATCCCATGGGGGTAACGAAATGATGCCAAAATTTTTGAAAAAATCAGATAACCCATTTCTCCCCACCTCCTCACGCACTTACTTATTTATTTATTTATTATTTCTTATTTATTTTCTGAAATTTCTTTTTATTTATTTATTTGCGGCATCTCTAGTGTGCACACCTCGGTCTCTCCTTTTCCCTTGGCACATTCTTGACCCCGTGGGGGGTACGGAAATGCTGCCAAAAATTTCAAAAAAATAAATATTGTTTCTCTTCACATCTTTTTACTTTTTTTAAAATTATTTTTATTATTTATTTTCTTATTTATTTTCTTATTTATTTTTTTTCCTCTCGAAATCTCGCTGTTTATTTATTTTTCTCCCGTCTCCCCCCCCCCCTTATGCTTGCTATTTTACTTTCTTGATTAGGTCACCGGTACCCTACCCTAGCCTTAAACCTTGGTTAGGGTTTTCTTAGGGGTTTTGTAGGGTCTAGGGTTCCTCAAAACCCCCCTACTTCCCCGTCCTCTTCGGGCACCCTGGACCCGAACCATCCCTCCCCCTTTGACGGCGCCCTTGCTAGCGCCGTTTGCCGCTTTCTACCGCGGACTTCCCCCTACGCCCTCCGCTCACGCGGACCTCTTCTGGCCCCCTCCAGTCCGGTCCGTCATCTCCCCATGGCCGACGGTGCGTCACACGCCGTCGACACGGCAATGACCACGGCATCGAGCTCCACACCTGTGCCGGCGGACCAAGGCCATCAACCCCAGGGGGATCTACACACCCTCCTCACCTCCCTCCTCGCGCCCATCTAGGCGCAACTCGCGACCGTCGGACCCTTACAGGCGCAGGTGGCGACCCTTGCCGCCAACGTGCAACAACTCCAAGACGCTGGTCGTCCTTCCTCTCCTCCTCTCTCTTCTCCTGGCTCTCAGTCCGGGTCCCCAGTTCTCCGACAGGGTGGCCACGGCGGAGTTTCCTCCTCTGCCGCCCCCGACCCGGCCATTTTGGTGACCGTCCACGCCCCTAGCTCGACGAACGCCACGAGTCAGGCCCTTCCTCAGTCTACGGGCGCATCGGCCCAGATTCCGGTTACGACGGCCACGGGACCACAACCCGTTACCATGGTCTCAGCGTTTCCGGGTGGCCCGCTCCTCCCCCCCCTTCGCACGACCGCAGCGCCACCTGGCTCTCCCCCCTCTGGGATGCCCCGCGCCGCTTGTGCATCCACTTCCTCCACTCTTCCCCCTGCTACCCCTCGCACGACCTACGTTCGAGGTCTCGAGGACGAGATTGCCCAGCTCCGGGCCAACCTCGCCCTCTTACGCCTTCAGCCACCCCCACCCTCACAGGTGGCCGCGCCTTCGGGCGCACCCCCTACCTCCTCTACCCTTCCTCCCATGCAGGCTTGCTTTCCGCGCCCTGCACCCTATACAACTCCTTCCTACCTTCTTCCTACTCCCGCGGTTGCTGCGACCTCTTCTACCGCAGCACCCTTGCAGCCTGCCGCTGTTGCCACCGCCGCTCCCCCATGCGGCCCGGGCGCACAGTCAGCTGCGCCCCTTTCTCCAGGACCTGCGCCGACTTACTCAGCCGTGGCACAGGCCTCCGCTCCTCGATCCCCTCGTCGCCAAAACGGTGGTGCACCACTCATCCGCTTGTCGGACATTGCCTTGTATGACGGTACAGGCATACGCGTGTCCCGGTGGCTGCAGTCTGCCACCCGCACACTCCAGCTCATGGGCGCCACACCCGAGACGTGGGTGGGTCACCTCTCCACGCGCCTGCGTGGCGGTCCTCTCGAGGCCTGGGAGGATTTCTATGCCTACTCCCTTCGTGAGGGTCGGACTCCAACCTTCGTGGATTTCCAGGCGTTCCTCGAGGATCGCTTCGGAGCCCGATACGACGTGACTGACGCCTTCGAGCGTGTTGTCACTACACGCTGGTCCGACTCTGGTGGCGTTGCCGGCCTGGATCGCCACATCCAGGTCTTTCAGGACGCCCGCCTCGCTTGCGACGTGGCGTTCCTCCCCGATGCTGCCCTTATCGATCGTTTCTTGGCCAGCCTTCCGCTCGAGTATCGCTCCGAGCTATGGCGGTACGAGTTCACATCGGCCCCACAGGCTTACGAGGCCGCGAGGGACCACCAGCGGATGCGAGCCCGTCTTCACCCCGCCTCCTCCTCCCAGCCCCAGCGCACGGGCTACGCCGCCTCCTCTCACGACACTTCCCAGCGCCGTTCCCCGTTCCGCGGTCGCCCCCGCCGTTCCACGCAGCAGGGCCGCCACTTCTCGCGCCGCTTCAGCGCGCTGGAGTATGGTGAGCAGGACGCTGTTGCCCCACTGTCATCTGAGGGCGACCACAGCGACGACCTCGATCTCTACGAGGCCGTCCACTATCACTTGGACTCTACCCTCCCTGCAGCTGAGCGCCTTCAGCTCGCGCTCTCTGCCCTCTCTCGGGCACGCAGCCGCCCCGGTCACGCTGGCGCATCGCTCCATGAGGTCCCTCAGAAGGACCTCCCTCAGGGCTTCGCCCCTCCTCGTGGTGTCCTTTCCCCTGAGGAGCGCGCGGCTATTCTGGGCCGGCGTGGGTGTTTGCGCTGCCGCTTGGACGGTCATMCCTCCTCGCGGTGCCCTTACACTACCGCCCTCGACCGCCACTACGCTGACCTTTCTCGTCAGCGTCGTGCNCCTCCTCGCGGTGCCCTTACACTACCGCCCTCGACCGCCACTACGCTGACCTTTCTCGTCAGCGTCGTGCTCAGTCCCCCCCCGACACCTCACGTCCCCGCGGCGCCTCCTAGCCACGGTGCAGTGTACACCTGCGCCCTCCTCAGTAGTGGGCTTCCCGACATCTCCGTCGCGGTTCGCCCCTCTCGCTACTGGAGTTGAGGTATCGCAGGACTCGACAGAGTGTACTCAGCCCTTTGTCGTAGTGCCGTCTGCGCCTCCGCAGACCACCGTCTCCCCTCCTCCCCCGCCGCGACTACCGACGCGTCGAGCCATTCGCTCAGCCCGTTGCCGCGAGCAGCTTGCTACTCGCGAGGACATTGTGTCCTCTCTTCTGGACTTGAGCATGCTCCAGGCTCGTCAGGAGCGACTCACCCTCCATGTCGCTGCACTGCGTCGCCTTCTCGCCATCCTCTCTGACCCTGATCGCACCCTCCCGATCATCCCCGTACGACTCGGGACCTCCACGAGGGTGTACTTAGCGCTGTGGGATTCCGGATCTCAGGGCGACTTCATTCACCCACGCGTGGTGAAGGAAGCCCGCTTACCCATGACAGGGTCTCCGACTCCCATCTCCGTTACCCTCGGGGATAACAAGACCCAGCGCTTCTTCGATCAGACGGTCACCGATCTCCCCTTCTTCCTCACTCTCGAGCCGACTGAGCGTTCCCCGGCGTCTCGTCGCCACCGCTCCTCTGCACATTTCGATGTGATGGAGACGGGGTACGACTTCATTGTCGGCACTCCGTGTTCTCGTCGGTTCCGCAGCACCGAGGCGGATTGGGCGACCAACACTCTCGTTCTCAAAACGAAGTGTGGACAGACGTATCGCGTACCTTTCATAGGTACCATGGGGACACCACGCCCCGATCCTCCTCCCCCGGAGCCTTCAGTGCCCACACCATCTCCCTCTCTCACTGTCACCTCGCCTCGGCAGTTCGCTCACTTCATTCGACAGGACGACGTCACCTTCTTTATGGTGGACGTGACGGATCTCTTACACTATGATCCACCCTGTCCCGACGCCGAGCTCATCCCTCTGGAGCCAGATCCTCCCTTTATCTCCATGGCTCCCATCTCTGCTTCCGTCCCTCCGCCGTCCGTCGAGTCCACCCCACCGTCGCGCGCTGACGCTGACGTTGAGGAACTCGCACGATATACGAATGACTTGGAGCCCGCAGTTCGTGACCTCATCCGAGAGTACCACGACGTTTTCCCATCGTCATTCTCATACGCCGGCATCCCACCGATGCGTGACGTCGAGCACTCCATTCAGCTCGTGCCTGACTATCGTGTTCACCACCAGGCACCCTACAGACTCTCGATCCCCGAGGCCACCGAACTCGAGCGTCAGCTTGCGGAGCTCCTGAGACTGGGTTTCATTAAACCCAGCAACTCCCCGTGGGGTGCACCCGTCCTCTTTGCTCGCAAAGCGGATGGAAGTCTTCGTCTCTGCATCGACTACCGCGGCCTCAACCGCTACACGGTTAAGAAGAGCTACCCCATGCCTCGTTCTGATGAGCTGTTCGACCGCCTAGCAGGCAACCGCTTCTTTACGAAGATTGATCTTCGTAGCGGTTACCATCAGATCCGCGGCGCTGCAGCCGACCAGCCGAAGACCGCGTTCCGATTGCGATTCGGCCACTACGAGTTCACGGTGATGCCATTCGGCCTCACCAACGCACCCGCTACCCTCCAGAGGGCGATGAACGACATCTTCAGGGACATCCTGGAGTAGTACGTTCTCGTCTACCTCGACGATATCCTGGTCTATAGTCGTACCCTTGAGGAGCACCTCAGACACCTCCGCGACGTCCTTGACCGCTTGCGCAGACATGGCTTCTACGCCAAGCTAAGCAAGTGCCGCTTTGCCCAGCACAAAGTGGATTTCTTAGGACAATACGTGTCTGACCAGGGTCTCCACATGGACRACRCGAAGATCACTGCTATTGCGGAGTGGCCCGCTCCCACATCCGCCAAGCAGCTTCGCAGCTTCCTAGGCCTGACCAGCTACTATAGTAACTTCATCCGGGGATACGCTAGGTATTCCTACGTCCTTACCTCCACCCTCCTCCGGAAGAACCCACCCTGGGCTTGGACACCCCTCCACGAGGACGCCTTCCGCG